AGTCCTGGGATCGAGTCCCACATCGGGCTCCCTGCTCAGCAGGGGGTCTGCTTCTCCCTCTGACCCTCTTCCCTCTTGTGCTCTCTATCTCTCATGCTCTCTCTCTCAAATAAATAAATAAATAAATAATCTAAGAAAAAAAAGAAAAAAAAAGGAAGATAGCAGGAAGGGAAGAATGAAGGGGGGGAAATCGGAGGGGGAGACGAACCATGAGAGACGATGGACTCTGAGAAACAAACTGAGGGTTCTAGAGGGGAGGGGGGCAGGGGGATGGGTTGGCCTGGTGATGGGTATTAAAGAGGGCGTGTTCTGCGTGGAGCACTGGGTGTTATACGCAAACAATGAATCATGGAACACTACATCAAAAACTAATGATGTAATGTATGGTGAGTAACGTAACAATAAAAAATTTTTAAAAAAAGGATGTTATTCTAATGGGCAGACACCTTTTTTTTTTTTTTTTTAAAATTTTTTTTTTTTATTTGACAGAGAGATAGAGAGAGAACACAGGTAGACAGAGCAGCAGGCAGAGGGAGAAGGAGAAGCAGGCTCTCCGCTGAGCAGGGAGCCTGATGCGGGGCTCGATCCCAGGACCCTGGAATCACGACCTGAGCCGAAGGCAGCCGCTTAACCTACTGAGCCACCCAGGCGCCCCAGGCAGACACCCTTCTTGAAGACCTAGTTCGCCTCCTGAAATTGCCAATTTTTTTGAGAAGGCTTTTCCTCAACACTTATTGTATTCTGTAGAGCTCTCCACGTGTGGGACAGCAGCAGGAATCTTCCTCCACCCCTGGATCGGAGAGTCCCTCGGGGAGCTTTCCATACCAAAGCTCAGGTCCAAGATCCTAGAGACTCGATTAAGTGGGCAGGGCAAGGTTTGTTTTCTTAAAGCTCCTCAGGTAGTTCAAACGTGCAGCCAGCATCGAGACCTTCACTCTAGGGCCTAGACCATGAACTTCCACAGTCTGGGCTAGTTGAGTGTCACAGGCTAAATAATGCTCCCGAAAGAGGTCCTGTCTGCGTCCTACTTCCCAGAACCTGTGCATGTTACCTTACCTGAGAAAGTCAAAGACCTTGAGATAGGGAGATCATCCTGGATTATCTGGGTAGGCCCTAAAATGTAACCATAAGGTTCCTTATAAGACGGTCACATGAGGAAGAAGGCGACATGATGCCAAAGAATGCTGGTGACTTGTAGAAGCTGGAAAAGCAAGGGAACAGACTCTCCCTTGCATCCTCCAAGAGAAGCTGCCCTAACACCCAGGTTTCAGTCCAGCAGGACTCATTCTGTATTTCTCACCCCTAGAACTGGGCAGGGTTTGAAGACGTGTGGTCTGTGGTGACTATCAGAGTAGCCACAGGAAACTCTTACACCAAGGATCACCTGAAGGCCTTGTTAAAAATGCAGATGCCAGGGCCTCTTCAAAGCCCTCTGGGTCAGCAGTTGTCACACGTTCGCGAGCATCTGAATATACTGAGGCTCTTCAAAACCCAGACTGCAGGGTTTCTCCCCACCCTCTCCCATGCTTCTGATTCAGCAGGACTGGCATGGGGCCTGATAATGTGCATTTCCAACAAATCCCCAGGTGGGTGCGGATGTATCCCAGTTTGAGAACTATGGCCTTAGATGCTTCTGAGGCACAGACTAGAATACGGTGATCATAGTCACAGTGAAGGATGAGGGTCCACTGCACACAAAAATTTATTATCCCGTTTGCTCATCCATACCTAAAAGGTAAGATTCTTCCTTACTCTGTAGAATTATGAGAATCAGGTGACATAACGCATTAATATCTGTCACTGTTTCTATCCTCCCACCTCCAGCAAAAACAAAATAAAAATAAATCTCCTCTCCAGGCAATGACAGAAGGCCCCTTATCTCCTGGTCTTTCTCTGCCAGCCAGGACACAAACCAGGCTGCTCTTATATCTCCTCATCAGGCAGTCTCTGTCTCAGGGATCTGGCCCAGGTCCCCCAGCCGGGTGTGTACCGGCTCTCCTCTGGGAGTGTCTGGAAACCCATGGGGACATTTCTGGCTCCATGATGACTCGGGGGAGGGCTACTGGCATTTTGTGGGGAGGGGTCCAGGATGCACTATAGGTCCTGCAATGCTCAGGATAGTCCTACAAAAGGAGGAACTGTCCGGCCCAAAATGCCACCGGGCCCTAAGCAAAAAAATGAAGGCTCGTGGTCCTCCGGCTTCTAATAGGGACCTGCGGGTCGGTTGTCCCCTGGTTTCTGAGGGTCATTCAAGAACTCTCAGTCTGAAGGCATCTGCCAGCCACACTCAGGCGCCAAAAGGAGGGTTTAGAAGGCTCAGTCATCCCAGTCTAGACTCCATGACTTGTCTGTCTCTCTTAATACCATTTTGCTGATAGCCCACTACCCACTTATGATGGGACCATATGCCCTCCTTGTCATAACAACCATGATTGATAAGGCTTATTTTTAATCCCCCAGAGCAATGGCTGGGCAGCTGCCTGGGGGAGCCACAGCCCACTGAAAGAGCCCTTTAGAATGTTCTGTCGGGGTGCCAAAGACCTGTTCAGCCCTCCGCATGGTCACGTATACCACCTGCCCACAGCTGATGCTGGAGGACGCTGTCTCCCTAAGGTCCTCCCAGAAAACAGCCATCATTAATACCATGGGAGAGCGTCCAATGGGCATGGGGGGCGGGCTGCATGATCTCTCCACTCACACCATAAAACGGGGCTCAAAGACCACATGTCAGATTTCAGAACTGCCTCACAGCATCTGGCTGGTGGAAGGCCAGGCTCTATGCCCAATTCTATCACTATCTAGGTCCAGCTGTGTAGTTCTGGACACCTTAGTCGACCTCTCCGGGCCTCGGCTTTAGGTCCACAAAAGGGGGTTTGTGTGGCTATATGGTCTTCAGAACATTCCAGCGCTTCAGTCTATGATCTGGGGAAAGGGTATGGTTTTACGAGCCTGGTTTGCTCTGCACACTAGCACCTGCTGTCTCCTGTACAGGATGTTGTGTCAGCAGGCTGGGGGATTTGGTGTTGCCATCGTGGATGCTCAGAGCAAAGCTGTCACCTTTCTAAGCTGCTTTCTAAGCAATCAGCAGGCAGGCCTAGCACTATTTGTCCCTCCTAATTTTACATGCAGCAACTCGCCAAGCCCAAAAATATACGTCATTCAATATTTACATCAGGGCCCTAATCAGCGCCCATTCTGCAGTTAAATGCACTGCGCTGATCTGCCTGGGAAGCTGCGCGGCTGGAGGAGGACAAAGGAGACTACGGGGGTGTGTTCAACATCATCCCTCTCTGTAAGAGACTCGTAACTCTAGGGAACAAACGGAGGGTCACTGGAGGGGAGGCGGATGGGGGACGGGGTAACTGGGTGACGGGCATTAAGGAGGGTACGTGATATGAGCAGCACTGGGTGTTGTATGCAAATGGTGACTCACGGAATTCTACCTCTGAAACTAATAACACAGTATGTGTTAAACTGAATTTAAATTAAAAAAAAAATCATCCCTCTCTGCTTTTAATGTCACTTGAAGGGTATTCCTTCAAGGGAGAGGTGATCACTTCCTGCTTACCCACTGAAAGCCGCAGCCTAATAAGACCCATGACAATAACTGCTGGAGAAAAGACATGCAAAATTAATTTCAGCTCCCCCTCCCCTGTAAGCACTAACATTTAATAAGTTTCAAGTGTGCCAGACAGGTAATTGTAACCATCCCAGCAAACCCTGCAGGAAAATCCCGCCTTAGAGATGGACACCTAAGGCTCACCTACTCTGCACATAAGCTTCATGAAAGCGTTCTGCCTTGTTCTCTGTTACTGATAAGGGAGAGGCGTTCTACAAGTATTTGTTAAATCCAAGATTCTTTTCAAACCGGAAAAACGAATTTCATGTCCCCAAATATGAACGCGACTCTGTCCACCCTACCCCTTCTCCTTCTAAGTGTCTCATTAAGAGCAACAAGAAAGAGCCTGATAAACTACTCATTCTGGCTGAATACACACCGCAGAGATCTGCCTTCTCCCAGAACCGAACACAAAGGCGGGAATCAGGAGATACTCGAAGAAAGATCCCAGACCTTCCTATCCCAACGACCAAGAATTTCTAAAGTCAAACAAATTAACCGAGTTCTTAGCCAATCGTGAACAACCTAGAAGAGATCTTGAGTTCTAGCATCAATTTTTCCATTGCACTGTAATTCTACCCACTCTCTCTCCCAAGACACCAACCAGGATATAAGGATTTAAAAGCCCCAGGGGAGCTCGGGGCACCCTTCAGAACTCGTGCTCTTTTCCGGCCAAAGCTCCCACCGAACAATGATCCCTTGTACGGAGAACTGTGAGGTCTGAGGGCACAAGGAAACAGATCTCTAACTTCCAAGGTTGCAAACAAAAGCAGTTTCAACCCAGAGGCCTCCAAAGCGGGAGCGGCCCTGCGCTCCCTTTCGGTGAGGTCAAAAAGTCTCAGAATTCCCCAAGCATTGCGCTGCAGGGAAAACTTCAGGCCAGAAAAGCCCTACGTTGGGAAGAATAAGAAAAAAGCCGGAAGCCTGCAAAAAAGCAAGCACCCAGTTCACGTGGGCTCAGCGAGCCGAGTCGGAGCGGAAGCCTGAGTCCGGCAGGCTACGAGGAGTTGGTCTCAGCAGCTGCAGACGCCCACCCTGCCGGCATCCCCGCTGGCCCCCGGAAAGGAATGGTGCCGGGGACGGCTGGGGGGCGGGCGCAGCCTCCGCCCCCTGCTCTTCTCCAAAGGGGCTTGCCCATTCCCGGCGCGGCGCGGGTACGGCTGAGCCCAAGGTGGTGGCGGTGGCGGTGGCGGTGAGGCGAGATTGCAAGCGTTCCCTCTCCCCCAACCCCCGCCCCTGGGCGAGCGACCCCGGGGCTGGGCCCTGCCCACCGAGGCTGGGGCGCACAAGCCGGGCGCGTGGCCCTGGGGCGCGGTCCCCCAGGGCGGAAGCAAGCGCACGCAGCAGGGCGGACTGCAGCCGCCGGGACGGCTCCTCTCACCTTCACTGCCGTGGGGATGGCACCTGAGGCCATGTCTGCGCTGAGTGGCGGCTGCGGTGGCGGCTTCGAGGGGCCCAGCAGCCGAGGCGGCTGGAACGGCAGCGCGGGACTAAGCGGTGCGGAGTCCCGGGGGCGGCCCTGGCTCCTCCTCTTCCTCCCCGGGACAGCTGGATTGGCTGCTAGCGTGGGATCGCCCCCGCCACCCCCTTCCTCAATTCGAGGTTTCCCGCGTCCCGCCCCTTTTGCGGACCTTTCCGGTTCTCCGTGGTTTCTCTCTCCACCCCAGTGCTAAGTAACGGGCTCACGACTGGGCTAATAACGGAGACCGTTGGTTGAGCCCTTGTATTGGCCCACACTCTGTGCTTTTTATTTTCACCAGCTCCGTTAACTTTTGCAAGATCCCTACGAGGAAGAGCGCCACCCCGTGCTCTGCCCGCTAGTAGCAGCGTTCTCGGCCTCCTCGGTAAAATCAGGTCGGTCCGCGTTCCAGAAGTTCTCGCGGGAGGGAGATTCTTCCTCCGGAGGGAACTGGCTGTTCGCCGACATTCCTTCCAGCTGCTAACGCCCCGCGGCCGCGCCTTGCTCTTCCTACAGCCGCGACCAGGGGTTTGCTCCAGTCCCTAATTCGTGGGGGACGGAGCCGGGATTGGGTTACCCCAGACTCGGGGATGACAAAAAGGAAATAAACAGAGTAACCTGCTACGGGATAACCTTTCTGATGTGCAAGCTATAGCTTATTCATCTTAAATTTGTGAGGAGGCTTTTAAGGGGGTGAGACACTGCCAGCCCCCAGTTGGGCTTGAAGCGGCCAAGGCCATCTTCAACCTCTCCCACCCCGGCCAATGTCCAGTACACCTAGATTCAGAATCCAGACCCATGGGTTTCATCGTTCAACACTGGTCATTCTCACCCCCCGCCCCCCAAGCATAGCACCGGCTCTCCACTTGGATAATCCCTTCTTAAAGTCCCCATCCCTCCCCTGCTAGGATAATCCAGTTTAACCTCCCTTGATGGATTAAACTCTCCAAAACTAAATGCTCGGTGGCAGTCATGTTCTGAGACACAAAAATACTGCACATTACCCCGGGGATGGGAGGAAGAATGTACTCTTTCCCTACATCAGCAAAACACTGAAACAAGACATAAATACAATTTCATTTAAAATACCACTGTGGGGGGGGGCGCCCATATAACCTGTTTACTGAAATAGTAAAGACTCTCAGCCTCTTATTTTTTTGCTCTAGGTCTTAACTTTTCTTACAATGTAAAGTTTGTTCTGTTTCTTTTAAGTTATAAAATGAAATGGCTAACGAATAGAAAGTAGAAGATTGGGGTGTTCTTTTGAAAGGGCAGAAGGCTGGGAGCCCCTCAAATGTGGTTTTTCAGGAGTCTGCTGATTGCTCTACGGAGGAGCAGGAAGCCCACTGATCAGAAGGTAACTATTGGGGGGGGGACCCTGATACCCTGGGATTTATGGCTGCTTGGTAATTAGGAGACCTTGACCAACTTATGTGCTTTGATGTGACCAGCAAGTCCAGTTTCTACTCAGTATTGGGTCTCTGCCAAAAGTTAGGCCCTATAAACAGGTTAGATCCTGGAAGTGTTAGAAGACCCTCAGAGAAGGAGGTATTTGAAACTTGGAAAGGGTTAAACAGGACTTCTGGACTTTTCTACGGTAACTTGCAGGTCTGGGCTCAATCATTTGCTCTTGAACATGTGATGTCTGTGAAGGGAAAATTGTCCCAAATCTGGTCTGTTTTTTTTTGAGGGATGTAATTCACAAGCCATTAATAGGAGGAAATTGGCAATTCTAGACAAAATTTAAGCAATTTTCTAACCTCTTGTAAGAAAACAGGCACCCAACCCCCAGCTGGTTGTTAGGCACTGTTTGCGTGTGTGTGTGTGTGACATGTAGTTCAAGGCAAATTCACCCACCTCCCAAGGGGATTCCACTCACTCAAGAAGCAGAGGACCCTAGGGGAGACTTGTTGGATAATGCCTTAATGTGTCTTTGGCTTATTTCCAAGTTTTAGATAATTTTTTCTTAACAAGCCCTAGAATCAATGGAAGACAAAATTTGTAATAGTGGTCTGTCTTTTTGATCGGTATGGGGAATTCTCAACAGGACAACAGGTATCTCAAGAGTCTATATATTACATATATACATATATAGGTATATACATCAATCATATAGGATTTTCAACTTTGAACAAATTCCTTAGTGTGTCTTCTTAAAATGGTGAAATTTTATTTCATACCTACTTGGAAAACCTGAAAGTTCTCTGATGTTTCTTAATTTTTCTATAAAGTGACATACATACATAGAGAGCACAAGCACGGGGAGGGGCAGAGAGAGAGGGAGAGAGAAAATCTCAAGCAGACCCCTGCGCTGAGTGCAGAGCCTGACACAGGGCTCGATGAGGACCCTGAGATCATGACCTGAGCCAAAGTCAGACGCTTAACTGACTGAGCCACCCAGGCGCCCCGTGACTATACTATTTTTGACAACATTTATCAGATAACCAAATTTCCCAAGAAACAATCTCAAGTAGGATTAGCCATGATCAACTTTCTTCCTTGGACAAACTTACAAAATGCCATTATGAGCCTTTGTGATTACTGGTTATAAATTAGAGAGAGCTCAATGGTCCTTGAAAGTATTCATGGTGCAAAAGTAATAATTTCTCTGATGGGATGCACAGACAAAGTTGGGAAATATCTGAATGTAAAAGCAGCTGCTGCTATTGAAATCTTTGCATTCCCTTCTGGTCTGACGACAGTAAGCTGTGGGTAACCCCCCGCAAACAAAAAAATTGATTTGCTGTATTTCTGAGTAATATAGGTAATTCTATAAGTATATAAATAATTCCATTTAAAAATATTTGAGTTCTTGGAAATGCTTTGCTTATAGGTGTTATAAATGTGTCCTGTCAGGAATGTGAAATGCTTCGATGTGAAATAAAATACGTAAAATTTTTGAAAAATTTAAAATATTTAATTGAATATAATTGTAAAAGAGAACTGAGGAAAATTTTCTGTTCATCATGGAAATGTTAACCAATAATAGTTAATTACAATCATCAGTGAAAAAGCAAAGATGATATTTCTCATTGTACCCAATACAGAAATAGAATAACAATTCGTAAATAGAACATAAATGTTTAAGAAATACTTAAGACTTGTTTTTGATTGTGTGGCCCTAATAAATTGAATATTAACTTTAAAACCAAATAAACACTTCTTTATACATACAAAGCTCTCAACCATCTGACTGTAGAATATTAAACATAAAGACAAAACCCTCCCATTGATTATTCCACCAAGAGCGGAAACTGACCATATTGAAGAGAGTAAGGAATGGTCTAGAAGTGAGGAAAGGAGACAACAGATACCTCCCTTCATGAAGTTTGTATGAAAGAGGAGAGACATTGAAACATAAGAGGATAAGAAGTCGATGTTGGTTTTCTTCCCCTTTCCTTTCATGATGAGGGAGTTTTGCGTATGTTTGTAAGCAGAGGGGAAGAAGTTCACACAGAAGGAGAAGAAGGAAAAATGGAAGAGAGGAATAAGAGGGATGTCTAATGAGGCAGGGTCCCGGAGTATCCCAGAGGGATGGGATCAGAAGTACTGATGGAGAGCATGGTCCTGTGTCAGAAGAAGGAGATATAGGTCTGGAAAAAGGTAAGACAGGGGGCTCTAGATAAATTTAAGAGAAGGTGTTGTGAACCTACAGGAGATCCCTCCTGATGTCCTAATATTCTCAACAAAGTAAAAGATAGGGTTACAGAATGGCTTTGAAGAGAGATGGCATACTTTCGGCATGGTTGTGGGACCATGTCAGATTAGGGACCATAAATCTAAAATGGTACCAATCTACAGGGGCATATAATTTCCCCTGGTAGGCCCCTATTGTCTGACTTGATGGTCTCAAGGAATGGAGGGTATTGGGGGGTGAGTTTATCTTATCAACAATGGGAGTCCAGCCTTACACAGAGCAGAGGCCAAGAAGGAGCTGGGTGATGGTGAAGGAACTGAAGGGCTCAAAGAAGTCTCAGCTCAGTGGTGGTAGAATGAAGGGGTGTGAGAAATGGAAGAAGGGCAGGTCCTGAAGGGAGATATTGAACCCCAAGTTTTTAAAATTGTAGCCCTAGGTTATGGCAAGATCCAAAAAGTGAACAACTGAATCAAGTCATCAGATAGGACAGAAGGCGCTTTTTGTGTGCATTGTCTGAGATCATTCTGCATCTACTGGGACTGTGGCAGAACTTGGGGAAAGGGGAAGGTGGGGAGCCAGGATCCAGTTGCTGGGAAGGGCTGGCAAGGGAGAGCCCCAAGACTGGTCAGAGACCTCACAATAGTACTAGTTTTATAGACATCAGAAAGCAAGCCAATCTGGAGTTGGCAGTGAGGAACCAGCAGTCCCATGATATATGGGGAACACTAGAACATTTGGCCTGCCCTGGAGAGAGTCGTGGAGGGAAATGGTTGACTAGGTTTCAATAAAGGCAAAGAGTTGGAAAGGGCCATCCAGAAGGAGGGTGAGGCTGTAGAGGAGCTTATTAATGATTAAACAATCATTTCACAGAGTGCAGTAGAAAATGTACTTATAAAGTGCTGAGGGAAAATGCAAGACAGGAGTTCTTAATCAGACTGGTAGCTCAGGAAGAATCAGGATAAACTATCCAGAGGAGGTGATGCGGGGATCCTGAAAGACAACCCGGAAGTAACTAGGTAAAGTGGGGAGGGAGGAGGTAAGGGGGAGGTAGGCGCCAAGTTTCAAGCCAAAGGATAATATTTCACAGAGATATGGCACCTCTATGGTATCACCATATGTTCCAAGTGGCCGAATTGAAGAGTAGGTTATGATGTATCGGCCATCACTGACGTAGCTTCTGATCAAACTGAAAATATCTCTTTTTGGCCAAATGGAGCGCAGGTGAGTGAAAGGAAACATGGTGTTGCTGAGAATTCCATAGGCCTCCCCACAGATCTTATACCAGATGCAATATTTTATTCTAGACCATCTGACCGTA